TGAGTTTTGATGTACTGAATTTCTGAAATGTGTCTGCTATATTAATCAAAATATTAAAAACTATTTTTGTTGCACTACTGAAAAACTGTATCTAGCAAAGAGGCCTTAACTACTAGAATTGCAAATAGCCAATATGTTAGGATATCATATAGCCAATATATTAAATAACTATATAGAGGGATGGAAATTCCTTTGAAAAACAATCAAAAGTGTTTACACAAATTGTGTACAAATCATGTTTAAACGTTTTGCACACTGAATTATAATGAAGTGGGTTTTCCACTAAATTGACTACTTAAATACCTGTATGACTTAATTATAAGAGTATTAAAATGTAGAACACGGAGAAAGTTAACTGTAAAGATCAACAGAGTAGTGGTTCTGGATATCTTGCAGAATTTTAATACTTTTTCTAATATATTCTATTCTTTATAGTTTGAATTACATTCAGTTTAGTAAATGTACTAATGTTACTGTTTTAAGTTCAGATTTTTCCCACTTCAAAACCTTTTCTGCTGTTCTTCGGATATTTAAAACTCCTAGAAATGTTTACAGCCTGACTAGACTTGTGCGTTTCAGATTTAACAGCGCAGCTGCTACCTCTTCTAACAAATGTTACTGCAAAGCTTTCAGACGTAGATGCCACATGGTCAAATTCCTAACTTAACACTGATTAAAAAACAGACAAACCAATAAATACAGTACATCCCATGTACAAGTTTTACAGCTCTATTATGGGTTATTTGTGACATTTTAGGACAGTGTGCTATGGATTACTTGATCATTTGAACTGAAAAACAACTTGATCAGTTTCTAAGATGGCACCTTTGTTTTATATAAGTAGAAAACAGATATTTCCAAATAAAAGTTTAGGAAGTGCCAGCAGTGCACCAAAATGTAAACTGAAATGTTTGCAGCATGCTACCAAAGCTGCTCATTATATTTAATGCTAATCCCAAACTAATTTTAAATATTAGTTTTATGTATATAAACAACTGTAGGCTGTAAGAGGCCTTATGTAAATTTCCTTATAAAAACAATTCTGAATTGTTAAAATCAAAATTAAAAGTCTAGTTCTGTTGACTTACAGACTCTTCCAGCTCTACAGAATCATTCAAATATTTCATATCTTTATATAGGAGAAAAGCTGTCTTGCTCTTGAGCCAACAGAGCTAAAAATAATTTAGGGACTAAATATATAAAATCAATCATTATTACCATAATGTTTTTAAGGGCTTAATATATGAAATCAGTAGCATCAATAACAGACTTTATAATTCTAAAACATTACTGTATTCATCTGATCAACTAACCTAAGTAGCAATTTTATGCTCTTTCACATGGACCTCCTATTTCATAGGCCATTTTGCCTTGATAATTGCTTTTTCTTTTATTCCATTCTACAGAAGGATGGGTAATATAAAGTGGCATTGCAAAAACTAAAGGCTTAAAATAGTTATGAATGAAGTAGACTGAGATTTTGTGTATGAGATTGGATTTTTTTTATAAACGCTAAGACCTACTAAATGTACTTTACTTTTGTTGCTTTGTTTTCCATTAAAATTGATTTTAAATCATACATCTACACTTTATGCAACATCAGTCCCTAGAAAATGCAACAGGGAATGAGCCACCAATCAGTTATAATGACTTACACATTAGATATTAGATGTACCTAGCCTCAGTATATGCTGCACCAATCTGTAGTGATGAAAGGATGAATAAGGTGAAGCATCAGAAGGGTGTGCTTTACAAAGTCATAGGACTGTGCAGCAGTACAGGTAGTTCTCACTTAATGACCAGAATTGGGATTGGAAATTCAGTCATTAAGTGATGCAGTTGCTAAGTGGAAAATCATATGGCTGTGACTGCTTTATGATTTTAGTTAAGCTTTCCTTTTTCCCCATTCCCCTGCCTTTTGAAATGCTCACTCCAAGCTAGGATAATTACTAAGTAGGGATTTAATATTTCTATTTACATTCATTGGAGAGGGAGGGACTACAAGAAGGTAAGCAGACACGCAATGGGGGATGCACACTGAAAAGAATGCAACAATAGGCAATATGAGCACATTCCTTGCAATGTATATTCATTGCCTGCTTACTCTTCTTGTAATCTTTCTTTCTCCATTCTCTGTGAGGTTAAAAAAAAGAAACAGCTCATGCACAGGACAATATATAGGATTGTAATGGTGACAAATGACTGAGGAATGCTGCAAAGTTTGTAAAAGCTCAGCTTGGTCAGTTATCTTTTCAACACTGTCAAACTTTAAAATGATTGCTGCACAAGGCAATTGGTAAGCAAAGTTTGCCTGTATATATTCAGTCACCAAAAAGATCAGTCTTAGGGAAAAGCAACCCCGAAATATTTTTGGAGATCAATTGCAAAGTGATGCACAACTATACAAAACATTCCGCAATTGAAACATAGAAGGTTAAAAAAGTCATATCCTTTGGAGAATTTATAAGCTGCTTCAAAAACTGTCTTGCAGTCTGCATAAATGTGTCTGCAATAATTTAGCTTCAGTGGTGTCTGAATAAAAGTGTGCATGCAAAGTTTTTATTTCATTTGTTTTGCACAGCCCTGTTGCTGCAATTACTAATACAGAAATGCATTGTATGTCTGTTTTGACAAGAATACTTCAGGAAAACACATAAGTTAGGCAAAATAAAGTTTCAGTAGCGGAGAATCAATATACCTCATGGTTGAACAGTTGGGGTTCTTGTTCTTTGAGCTTTCTTCTTGCAACTTTTCCCTCACTTATACACTTAAAGTTACTTAGGCTAGTAATGAAATAACTGCAAGAAGAAAAGGAAACACGGAAAATGCGAGAAACCAACAAAATAATTACATAGTGCTCAACATCAAGTCTTGAATAGAATTATTTTTATTAGGAGGATCTATGATGTCTGCCAGGTATCATCTGAACTTTGTAAAACAGTAGACTTTGGCAATAAATTGGCAATAACAAATATATATATATTTTTGTGTGATTATTTTCCTGTTTTAATACCAACATTGGTAAACGTGTCTGCCTGACCCAGGATGTTACATAAAGCTATGAGCTATAATTATAAATGCTTTCCTTGTGGAGAATTGAAAATTAAAAAATGAACTCACAAATTATACTAAGCCATGATTTAAAAAAAACATTTGGGTTAGTATGACATAATGTGTCATAAAACATTTGCGGACCACAGTCCATATGCATTGAGAAAGGATTCAGTATACCAAATGTTATTTAAATATACTACTATAACTACATGTCATCAGTAAAATGTATTACTGATTCTTTTCTTAATTAAATACTAATTAGTTTAATTTCTCCATCTGAAAAACTGTGTCAAAATTTTTCTCTAAATTACCTTGATTTATGATAAGCAGTAAAGAAATGTATTCAGCACCAGTCTTCAAAAACTCATCTTTGCTTAAAGGATGACTCTTAAAAAGCCAAGAAACAAACCATTTGATGAAGACCTGTGTACGGTCAAGTTATGTGAAGAAACACATAGGTGAAGCATGCTACATGTTGGGGTATCGCAGAGAACTGTTTAATATTCTGCTGTAGTTGTGCTGATTGGTAACACTTTGTAATACACACCTAAGCTTTTGCTTTGAAAGCTTTGGATCCAGCACTGGAAAAGTTTCTCTAATTACAAATATTAAATACATGAAGCCAGGACAGAGTCCTGTCTAACACATCTGCCATATGATGGAAATATTTCAACTAGACAAGTCTAGTTGAAAATTCCCCCAGCATCTGATGTACCCATTTCTTTTACTTAAAAGCCTGCCCTATTAATTTAAACCACATCAGCTAGAAAAAGGCAAGTTTCTCTATTTGTATGGAGCTCTTTGCCCATAGCTATTCTGTATGCAACTGGATAATTTCAGGGTTAATTGAGCTTTTTGTTTCCCTCAGTAAGATTTGGTGCAAATAGGGCAAGCTAAACATCTATTTCAGTGATAGGCCAATTTTCACAATTGCAGTAAAGATAAAAAGTATTGGACATGATTCAAATGAGAAGCTGCATGGTGCCATCATATATCTATATTGTACATACTTTTGTATGTACAAAAGTGCTGTACATATTTGAAAGGCTTGCACAATGGCATACTGCTTTTTTATACCAATTTTATTAGACATTGCAATTTTAAAAAGTCTTGTCTGGTAAAACTTGTTCCTCTTCCATTGTATCTTTTAAACAGAGACTATAGAGAGGCAGGCACTCTTAAAATTAACTTTGGGGTCCATTTCAGATTCTTTTAGCAACGACTGAGATGAGAAACAAGGCTTAGCCATACCCAAATCTATTCATCAGAAGTCGAGCTTCTGCACCCGTCCCTCTATTGGTGAAAGAATACAATTTTATAGTGCACCATTTCTATATATTTATCAGATAGTGAATCAGAGCAACATTCAATAAAATGCAGTACCTGATTAATAACCTAAGAAATATGAATCTACAAATATAACTTAAAATATCTATTACTTCTGCAATAACCTCTGGCCTATCTGTACTCCATACTTAGTTGATATATAGAGAAGCATAGTTGCTTCAACAGGAAAGTTCAGTTTGATAATTTGATTTCCCGTGAAAAACTTTTGAGAGAGTCTGCAACCTTTACAAGTACAAATACACTTGTCGCAATCCAGTATTAATATTGTAAGATGGGACTCGAGGTGTTTCAAACTTTTTTAAAAAAATCCGTGTGTCAGATTGCTGAAAAGTGAATTTAATTAGAATTTCCACTATTCTGAGTTTATTCAGGTGGGGTAGGGAGAACTTTTGTCGAATCACAGTAATATAGCCCCATCTGCCAACAATTCACCACCAAGCCAAGCATCATTTCCACGGCCGCCGGGGGCGGGGCGGAAATGCTAGAAGGAACCGGAAGTCCGGAGTTTGTGAGTTGAGGATCAGAATCGGGCGCTTCCCTTATTTGTCACGTGATCACACGCAGCGCCCGTCCGTCGAAAGGCGCATTCCGGTCGCTTGACGCATGCGCCAGTAAGGGGAAGAAAGAGAAGAAAAAAAAAAAAAGCCTCCTTCCGCTTATTCGTTATCCCGGTATCTCGCGCAAGAGCTATCATGGCGGCCGGACCTTTTGGTTTGCTCGGGACGGTCTTCTTGCTGGCGGCGACGTTTCAGTTTCCCTCACGTTCGTGGGCTTCAGAAACGCCCGGCGGCGGTGGCGGCGATGCTGTCGTCGCCGGTGAACGGTTTAAAATCGAGGGTCGCGCGGTGGTGCCGGGAGTGAAGCCCCAAGACTGGATTGCGGGCGCCCGAGTGCTGGTGGACGGGGAGGAGCACGTCGGCTTCCTCAAGTAAGTAGGAGCCGCGGTGGCGGTAAACCATCTACACTCTCCTAGCCCCGCTCTGCGGACCCCGTTTGGGGTGCTTGTTGGGGTGGGGGGCTCCCGCTGCGTTTCGGACCACGTCGAGAACTGGTTTCTAATTCGCTTGGGATCCTCGCGTCTCTTCGGGAAAACCCCCGGGAGGCTGCCCGCGGTTTGTAGTTAACCCTTTCGCAGGGCTATATTGGGCAACCACGAAAAGGACATTTTTTTAAAAAAAATATATTTATTAATGTGTTTATTAATTTCGGAAACAGAATGACCTCGGCGAAGACGGGTCTCCTACCAGTCTTCCCTCAGGGTTAACATCGCTGTCACCTTAAACTGTCTTGCCCAAGAAAAGAAGAAAGAAAGTACTAAGCAAGTTTTGCACTACCAGAAAATGAACCCCTCAATGCTAATTGAAGGAATTGAAGACGGCAGCGAGATACTGCTCTGGTGTTGTCAAGTAAACCGTGTAATTGTGTCGATGGAGTCAAGCTTGCCTCGAGGGAGGTTTTGCCTTGAGAGGTGGTAGATGAGAGTTTGGATTCTGAATTGGCCCAGGGGAGAGACAGATTCAAATGGATCCTTTGGCCTTGGGAAGTCCAGGGATGACTTTGGCCCTGTCGCTCCTCCCAGCCAATCCTAATCGACAGCATTGCTGTGGACAAAAGTTGGAGTAGGGAGTTTCTAAAGGAAAGGTGTGATATAAAGTATATCGCAATTTAAAGCTTCTTACCTCGCTCCAGCAGAGGTCCCCAAACTTGGCAATTTTAAGACTTGTGGCCTTCAACTCCCAGAATTCCTCAGCCAGCTGGGAGTTGAAGTCCACAAGTCTTAAAGTTGCCAAGTTTGGGGACCCCTGCACTAGACTGAGGCCTGTCACTATTATTTTAATTCCGTCTTAAAATCTTGATGCCAGAATAGGCTAAAGGGAAAACTGGCCTGGATTAGGTCAAGGCAGATTATCCAGGACAGATTTTAAGGCATATTTCTTGTGTCAAGGTGTGTTGGGATGGGGTTGTTGCTTAGGAAGATCACAAGCAGCTTTTTCTGAATGTATATGACCTGGCAAAGCAACACCTCTCAATCTTTACAGTTGGTTTTCTGCTCTGAGGAATAAATTGCTCAATTTCAGATCTGCAGAGATAAGTTTCCACACACATACTCCGCTGTTTGAAAATGTTAATACCAACATGTTTTAGAATACGTCTTTATTAAAATTCAAACATACAATTTCATGCATCTAGTCATCATTTTATCTTCTTAATGGAAAGTCAGGACTGGACCTAGAATAATGTGTCAAAAATTGTATTAATTACATTATTCTTGTATCCTTAAACACTATATTGATGGGGAAGTAGTTCTTGCTTTCTTTCCCCCTATGCTTCTCTCAGAAGGGCAGTTGCTTTTAAGGGGTGCATTTTAAGCAGGTACTCAAGTCTCTTAATCAGAGTTCATGAGATAACTTATCCTCTGGGTTGAAATATTCTGGGTTGAAATGCTAACACAGCTTTTCATACTACACTAATTAATTCCTGCAGATTAGAAGTACATGCACACAGAATCAAGTTGCCTCTGATGTTGACAAATTAATATGTTCCAATGTATGATTGACCAAGATTTCATTATATGTAAAGTGATGTACATCAGAGCAAAACGTCCTAACTTTATATGTGCTGTGGTAAAGCCTGTTGTGTATCCAGGGAAAAGTAGAATTCTAGTGATTAATTCAGTGAAGATGATGGCTCAAATGTATAATTTCTGTCAACATTGCAGTGTTCATGTACAAGTTTGCAATGCTTCTACATCTACAATACTATGTACTGCTCTGGTTATCATATTAGAAAAGTAACAGAACAGGAAAAATGCAGAAGTTGCCAATCAAAATGATTTGGGGACTCAAATATCCTCCATACAAGAAAAGGATAATACATTTGGAATTTTAGCTTGAAAAAAGAAAGTGGACAGATTTATTGTAAACTGCGGAGAATTTTGCTATTTCATTTATGAAATTTTATTTAATAAATAAATTTTATAAAATATTAATATTTTTTCTGTCTTCTTAAAATAGTGGACCAGGGGTCATCCAGTCAAACTAATTGGAAGGAATGTTGTATATAATTGCAGATAAGCCAATCCTCAAAATGTCAGCCAAAATATCATGAAAAATGCATCATCCTCAGATAGACCAACTTTCAAATTTTTAACTGTAGGAACCTGTAAGCTTTATAAAATTGATTTTAAGGCCATCACAGGCTTTAAAAATTATAGCTCTGATCTGCAAATATTCTAAGCCCAATTTTGTGGGTATGATGTCAGATTTGTCCTGATGCAGTGGGACTGTTTTTATGTTCTTTTACAGCCATTTATGACTCGTAAATTTGTCCACACATTTTTATTTTTTTAAAAAATGTATCTGTTCACTTTTGATTAAAAATGTAGAGTGGCTTAAAAATTGAAGGAATATATTTTATGAATTTTATACTTAAATATATTTAAGTACAATCCGCCAATCATAAATTACTCCAATTTATTGGGTGGACAAACCAAAACGTTCTCCCTATCAACTTTTTCCATGCCATGTGTATTGCTTTACTTGCCTTTTTTTTCTAAGCAAAACAAAAATTAAAACAATATACTTCATTTATTTTTATATGTAAAACTAACAAGTCTATAAGGTAAATATTCTTTGTATGTAACATAATGATTTTTGCAGTTTGTCTTAGGTCAAGTGAAATGCTGAGATAGAAACTAGAATGTTTTATCTTGTATTCATAACTCCTCTGCTATACCACTTCACTGTTACTTGTTAGAAATGAAGAACATTGAATTGCATATATATTGGCAGAAATTATAATCTTATTTTCTTAACACAGAGAGTCTAATGCTCCGAATTGTAGTTCTATACTATGGCTAATTTGTCTGATTAAGCAAAACTTTTCTTGTGGTATGTAATCTAAAATTATTGTGTTATCTCTGAAAACGTGATAAGAGTTATATGTTTGGCTCTTTTCCATTTTATCAGGACAGATGGAAGCTTTGTGGTTCACGATATTCCTTCTGGATCATATGTTGTTGAAGTTATATCTCCAGCTTACAAATTTGAACCAGTACGAGTAGATATTACTTCAAGAGGAAAAATGAGGTGAACAGTTTAAAATTTTATATTGCAACGTCAATATATTTTGTAAATTAAGAGATGAAAAGCTTAATTTTAACATCTACATACACCATCATGCTACATTTGGAAAGGCTTTCAAAAAATTAAGATCTAGTGAATCAAAAATCCAAATGGACCAGTTTGTGTTCATTTTTATTGGGATAAAATATTTGTTAATGAACATTGTAATATGTAATATATGCTTGTTTCAGTTAGTAAAATAAGCAATAAAATAATTTCTCTGGCTTATCAATATATAAATCAAATCATTTGGTTTCTGAAACTTGGTTTGATTGAATATGATTGTGTAAACCAGATCATTGACTTGTTTAATAAATGATTAAAACAAATGGTGATTTACTGCATTATATTAAAGCAGCCATAATTTTATTGCTAATAATGTGTTGATATTCATATTGTAATTATATAAGCAATTTGAACTTATCTTGCATGTTAGATATGTATAAGAAATAAAACCTCATTTTAATACTTGGATTTGTGAAAATTATAGCTTTCATATTTCATATGAATTTATTACATATGATATAATTGACTTGTAGTGATATCTGGTACAGTATCTCCATAGGTGAAATTGCAGTGTTCATTAAATCATTCTCAAACTTCTCTTGCATTACTAAATTGTAGGAAAAGCCCCAGAGTTTGGAAAATATAAATCCATATAAAAGGGTAAAGGATACTGTTTAGAGGTATTGATAGAGAAAATAACATGTTTAATTGAAAAATCTATAGAATACCTTTTTAAAAAAAAATTTCAGAGCAAGATACGTGAATTATATCAAAACATCAGAAGTCGTTCGATTGCCATATCCCCTTCAAATGAAATCTTCTGGGCCTCCTTCATATTTTATAAAGAGAGAGTCTTGGGGATGGACAGACTTTTTAATGAATCCCATGGTATGTATGGAATTGTGTAAACATCAACAGGTTTACCAGACTATTCTTCCATTTATAGAAATTACATATCAAGCAAGTGTTAGCGTTTATATTCTATTGTGTGCTTTAATTATTGTGTGTTTTAATTATTCAGAATTTTATTTTGTGATTGTAATATGTTGTAGGTTGTCCTGAGAAATCTCAAAGGTTCTGTGTCTGAAATAATAATCAAAAGCATATATTTTCTGTAAGGTAATGATGAATGGAGTAGATATATTCACTTTCAGTTAAGCATGTTTGAGACTGACAAAATATACATATATTGAGAGATAGATGGTTACATCAACTAAACAGGAATTTCATTTGTCTTTCCTAAGAATATGTTTAAGACTGTAGTTTTATTATTTCTGTCTGTCAAATAGATTCTTTTTGCAAAAATTAATGCATCTTAGCATTAATATGGTATATTACTGGTATATAAGTAAAAGTTGAAATAAAACTGCTAAAGCATAAAAATTGAATATAGTAACTTAAATGTGTATAATGTTTAACTTGACATTTATTTAATATTGAACTCAAGTATAAAAACAAAACAAAACTTTATACTTTATAGACTTATGTCCTAGAAACCTGGAATATTGATTAAAATTAGGTATTTGGACTAGGTTGGTTTCTACAAGATAATCTGAGTAGTTCTTGTTTGGTTAATTACGTGCTGTCAATTGGACGTCAACTCTTGGTGACCACATAAATTTTTTTTCATGATGGTCTGTTCCTAAATTTGTCATAATATGTCCAAAGAAGAATATTGTCATTTATACCTTGAGGAGGTTGTTTTGTTCCATTTGTTTCCTGGCTGTCCACAGTATTCTGAGGCATCTTCTCCAACACTAAAGTTCAAAAGCATCAATACTCTTTTCATCCTACTTCTTCAGAATCCAAGTTTTGTTCCCATAGAGTATTACAGGGAACATCATTATTCGCACTATTCTGATTTTCATAGGTATAAAATCATAGCATCTGAATATCTTTTTGAGTGGCTGTATTTGTTCTTTACATATTAGAAATGATTACAGAATTGTACGAAAAATGATTGTAGATAATGAGCTCATAATGAAATCAATCTGTTAGTCATGGAATTGAAAGAATCTTGGAAGTTATATAATCCAGTGCTATTACTAAGAAACACTACTGCACAGTTCAATTACAGGTTATTTGATAATGGCCATTCATTTTTTTCTTAAATTCCTTCAATGAGTGCTTCACAAAGTTCTGAAATACACAATTTCACTATCAAACTTTTAATATTTTATACTGATGCTACACTCAATTTCATCATTTTATTTTTTTTAAATACCTGCTATTTGGTATTGACTCTTTCTTCCAATATAGTAAAGAACAAATATGCTTTACCTCAGCTCATATTGCTATAATCCCAAGAGATTTGTAATTTCAGTGGTTACTTAAGACACATTTGGTAAATGTAACTCAGGTTGGTAGTTTATTTTTTTCAGTCTTAAGGAATCATATTAAACTATGTCTTGAATATTTCTGATCACCATAGTTTGTTGTGAAAGGTTCAATACAGGTAGTCCTCAACTTACAAACACAGTTGAGCCCAACATTTCTGTGAAGTGAAATATTTTGTAGGTGAATTTTGCCCCATTTTGTGACCTTTCTTGCCACAGTTGTTAAGTGAATCTGCCTTCCCCATTGACTTTGCCTGTCAGAAGGTCAAAATGCAACCATATGACACCAGGACATTGCAACTGTCATAAGTACAAGTCAGTTGCCAAGCATTGGGATTTTGATCAAGTGACCATGGAGATGTTGAAATGGTCATAAGTGTAAAAATAGTCATAAAATTACTTTTTTCAGTAATTCAATATAACTTCAGTAATTCAATATAACTTTGAACGGTCACTAAATGAACTGTTATATGTCGAGGACTACTTGTAGTTTTAGCTGACATCAAATAAATAATGATCATGGTCAAGCATTAGGAGAATTCAGATTTAGTCATAATACATTCAATTCATTTTCATGACTTTTTGATTGTTCACAAAACAACTACAATAGTTTTGAAGTTACATAAATATTCTGAAAGAGGCATAATTTTTTGAAGTATCAAATGGTGAATAAATTAATAATACCTTTTGAATTTTTTCTGTTTAAGGTTATGATGATGATCCTTCCGTTGTTAATCTTTGTATTATTACCCAAAGTTGTTAATACAAGTGATCCTGACATGAGACGGGTGAGTAAGCTTTGCAAAAGTAAAAATTGCAAATATTGAATCTAGATATAGGTATAGATATATAATATACAGAATCAGGAAAGTGTCAGATATAATAGCGAGCTTTTGGTTTATTGCTATAATTGAAATATATTTCTGAGCTAAACACAATGATGCAAAAAAAGAGGAAATTATTACTGGAAAGAAGGATTTAAGACATAAAAGATTAGTTTTTTCCATGTTTTATTTGCATTCTCCAAAAAGCTTATGAAATATAGGATGAGCTTAAAGAGAACGGAGTCAGTTTCATGTGATGAAATGACATTTAGTTATAGGGCCTATATGGCTGCCTTTCTCATAAAATGATTGGGAGTTGCTCACCATATCTATGAAGCTTGCCTGAAACAAAAATACCCTTCCCCCAGGCACCAAGCCTAATCTGTCTTTTAGTTAAACCCCACCCCCACCCCCGTGGAAAAGCAAATGTGATAAAGTTGTTGTGCTTGAGAATGTGGATGCTGGATAATCTTAATTTCAACAGTTTTATGTTCCCCACCTACACAAAGTACTGTGGGGTGCTCTGAATCTCAAAGTCAAATCAAGAAAACATTCCCACGAGAGAATTAATCCCCTCTCATGATTGAATGGGAAATCTTCAAAAGCAGATTTATTTTCCATGTGGGTTTATCCCATATTTCATCAAAGCTTATTTGGAGGATGTTAGCTTTTTACTCCTTTGTCATTAGCAAAGGCACTTGCTGCCTAAACTTTCTTCTGCTCCTATTAGGAATTAGCACGTTCTTTTGGGGATATGGGAGCTCTTGTAAACATTGTTATTTAAAGCAAAGTCCTGGGCAGATCTATGACTAGCTGAGCATATGTGCTCTTCACTACTATGACTTGATTTCTTGGACTGCTCTGATATTAGATCAACAGCTCTTTTCTATTCACTCTAGCGAATTGTGTAGAGATTTCTAATAAAAATGTTTTAACTAACCTTGGTTAAAAGGAATTCAGTTTCTGTGCTTAATATAAGTCTAAAACTTTCTGCTACCTCATGCTGTCCTCTCCTTCTCTTTGTAATTATGATTTCAGCAAGAATTCCCATGCTTTTGATAAATTCACAGTAATAGGAAGTTGTATGGTATTTCTTACATTATTTTAATACATTGTCCTTTCACCATGCATTATGCCGAATAGCGGAGGGCTAGAACAAAATGGAGACTCAAGGTGTTTACTGAATCTTCTATATTTAGTGGTGCTTACTGTGTGCCCTTTGGCTGCTGCTTCTGGGGTTCAGTTGGTATTAATTTTTATTTCTTCTGAATTATCTCTGTCTTCAGTAGTTCTTTACAGGTATCAAGTTATTTTCAAGTTATTCTTATTACATTCTAGTCTAGATCCTGAAATGTCCTAATAGTCCAATATTATGCTTGGATGATATATCTCTATTCATTTGTTTGAAGAAAAGCTATAAGAAAAAAATAACACTTAGAACTGATATTTTTCAGTTTTTCAAAATGTGTAAGAATTGATATTGTCCTGTAAGACTACTTTAGACATGTTTTATGCTTTTTTGCTTTAGTAGTTTCTTTCCTACATATATAACAATTTTCTTTTAAGATCCTCACACTGGCTGAATAGAGGAATCTGTAGTGGGGGTATGTGGTAGAGAGCAAATGCAAACTGTAAAAATTCACTGTGTGTAGTCTTTAATATATAATTTAGAAATGGTTTTCTCTTATACTTTCCTTTGTTTGTATATATTTAGGAAATGGAGCAATCCATGAATATGTTGAATTCTAACCATGAGCTTCCTGATGTGTCAGAGTTCATGACAAGACTTTTCTCTTCAAAATCTTCCAGCAAGTCTACTGGCAGTAGCAGTAAAATAGGAAAAAGTGGTGCAGGAAAAAGGAGGTAGTTGTTTCTTTTCCTGGAACCACAATTTGCACAGCTCTGTGATGTGTTATCATCTGGATGTTCTGTGAAAGAACAGAAAGCCACTACTGTAACCTTAATTCAGTTTGAATTTTGAAAGGATACAACTGTAGCTTTTTAATCTATTTAAGTATCTTGTTCTTGAAATATCCAGGAGCATCACTTCTGTCTAAAATATGTAAGGTCAGTACTGATGATAATTTAACTTCTTTGTAGAGAATGACATTAAAGAATTTAAATTATGTGCAATATATTAATGATTCTTAAACAATACATCACTGTAAATAATTTGATTTTAAGAAATAGAAAACATTCTTTAATAATGGCAATGGTCTAATTGTGCATTTCTTAATATTCATCACAATGAATTGCTACATTTTTTCTGGAAAAACTATTTTTTTCATTAGTTGCAGATGTTTTCTTCCAGAATCTTAACTTCCTATTTAATTCATTCCCAAATTTCTTTTATATTTTTTTTCTATGGAATGCTTTGACATTTGTCATTATTTAAGCCTTGTTTAGAAAAAGTTCCAGTGATAAACACATGTTCCTCTATTAATCTTACTTTTAAAAAGAATTCCCTGAGTACCTTGTGTTGTAAGATTATAAAAGATGATACAGTTCTGTGCTGGTATAAGTAAAGAGAGCCAATTACTTGACGTAGTTTGTCACTACAAACTACAAGTAAGTTATTCTGGGGTTGTTTTTTTGTTTATTTTATTGATGATAGGTGCAATGTATGGTAATTAGACAAATTTATTCAAAGCCTAAAGCCATTAGTTTGCCACAGACCCTTTGCCTGTAGAGCTAAGTAGACATCAGCAAAATAATAGTTCTTTTCTCTCAATTTCAATTCCAGTATCTCTAAGCTTAAGTGTTTTTCAGCCACAGAAAAATAACACATGGGAGGTTTTATTTTGCTAAGAATAGAAATTACTGAATATTTCAAGGGGACTGCAGAAACAAAAGCAGATGGGACCCCAGCTTAGTCTTGAATCCCATTTTCTCATTTCAGAGAATAATTTGGAATAAAATCATAATTTCAAATGTGTTAAATGCTAAAATACATCATGGCAGCTTACATATTTTGGTCATAGTGTTGCAAAATTAATATATAACTGCATCTTACAAATTGTTTTAAATATGGTAGGCTTGTTTATTATTTCAGGGGGAATAACTAGATGGAAATTTGGTCTCTTGTATGCAGCGTTTCTAGCTTGTTAAATTGAGATTTCACATAATCAAACACTTGTACTTCTCTCAAAAGTTTTCCAACAGTTATATAACAAAAATATTGTGAAGTTCTATTACCCATTATTATAGATGAAGAGTTAAAGTCAGTGGAGCCACTCATTCTGAATTTTTTGACAGAGTCGAATACAGTTGTGGAGTTTGTTTGTTTGTTTGTTTTCATTCAATTGTGTTGAATTCTCAGAGATTGCCCGAACATATCCCTGCAGCTTTCTTGGAAAGGTTTTTCAGGAGTGGTTTGCCATTGTCTTCTCCCTGGGATTGAGAAAATGCGACTGCCCGCAAACCACCCAGCTAGCTGGTCTTTGTGCCCAAAGCAGGACTAGAACTCAATCCCCATTTTGTAGTTGTAGTAATTCACATTAAATAAGCTACTTAACAAAATAGAATGAAGGGAAATTAATTTGTTGATCATCGTGATTTAAATTTGCTTATTCACCTTAAAATATTTATTTTTTTCTGTTTCCAGTAATGTGTCATTTCACTTCTGGTGGACTGCTTGAAATGAAGCAGCTAGTCTAAGGAAGGTTTCTTTCACAAATATTAGATACATGGAGAAATATATTAATATTCAGATGCACGTAGCTAGGAAACTGTTCTAATGGAGTGCTCTAACACTACAGAAGACATTATATAAGCTTGGGTGGACTGATAAAATGTATGAGTGAGAAGGGATTTTATTGGTTATCTAGTCCAAGCCTATATTCAACATAGGAATTCATTAAATTATCCCCACTGAGTGGCCATCCAGGTATTCTTTAAAAACCTTAAGGTGTGAGGGAAAGACTTTTCACTGTTCCCGGCAGGCTGTTTTACTATCTAACAACAAAGAATGGGTTTGTTTCTTTTTGCATCTAGCAGCTATTTAGGTATATACCACCATTCTATTTCACCGTATTTGGTCTTTTCCAAATGCTTGGTTTCAAGTTTCTAGTCATTCTAATACCTGTCCACTGAATTTGATCTAGCTTCTCCATATTGCCTAGTACTCAAGCACATAGCAACAAACAGCGAGCTGGAACGATTACCTCCTGTGATCCAAACATGTTTTTTTTTATCACACCCAAAAATGCACTAGTCTTTTGGTCTCATCTCAATACCATGCCTATATGTATGATTTTTTCTTCTGAGATGCAGGATGTTGGATTTGACCTGATCTTCAAGCTTATGATGTTCATTTCAAACTAAAGCCTTGTTCTTTAAACTGTTAGCTAATATTGCTAATTTGGTGTTGCTTGCAAATTTGGTATTCATTTCTTTCATCTTCAATGTATAAGCCCTGGTTTTTTCTTCAAAATGATGCACAGTCATTTTTCAATATCTCTTAGGTGCAGTTGTTTGATGTGTTATAAATCCACTGAACCACAGTTTTGTCTAGCCCACATTTATCCATCTTGACATCTGTTGTCCATTTCAGGGACTGTATGAGTTAGCCAAAAAGTTATTTTAGTTTAAGTAGAGAGATGGTAGATATTCTAACAATTTCATATATGAAGAAATTGGTTTGAGATTATCCAGCCTCAAACTGAAAGAGAGGTTATGGACTAAAACAGAGTTGTTCCGAATAGAAATAGTTTGGCAGGTAATGGCATGAAAAACCCAAGGGTCTGAAGAGAGGAAAAATTGGAGGGAAGATCTGAAGTGGGCAAACTGGTGGGGTTCGTCACCTTGGGAATCTCTTCTTTGCTGCTAAGACCATTGCAGTAGGAAACAGGTAAGCAGGCCAATATTTTCGTGGTGAAGAAAGAAAAGGAAGGGTCCATGAAAATCAAGGCCAACAGACTGATTACATACGTTGTTCTGGGAATAATGAATGGAGGAAGAAGGTGATACATTTTGCCTACATTTTACATATTAAAAAATTATAGGATCTCTCACCATTTGGTTTCTGCTGAACTCCAGCAAATCCAAGACAGTCTGGTAGAATTTGAAAACAAAATGGTTGGTTCTGGTTTCAAACCAAAATGTGTTTCTTGTTTTATTCTCACCCTGATACTAAAGTGGTGTTATAGTTGAGAAACTGAAAAAAAAAAATCCATGAAATACAGAGTAAAAGTAGGTTTATAATGTACAAAGAAGTGCTTTGCTTTTTAGCATAAAAGTTGATACAGTGTGGCTATCCTATTACAGTTGTGAGGTGGGCAAAAACAAGAAATGGTAAGAAATGAAAATGGTATTGTGGGTTTAATTGGAAGCATGTATTCCCAAGAATCCTTTTCTTTTTTTTACTTCCCTTAGTGGGAAAAGAAAATTATATTTTATAATATATAAACTATGTAATATAAAGTGTGAACTAGGCTACTATATAATTTGTTCAAATTAAAATTAAAAGAAACCATAACTTAGTTTGGTCTAAACCTGTGCACCACTGAGAAAGACCTGTGTCAGAAATTATGCTAAGCCACAGATTGTTTTACCATAAATTACAATTAACTCAGTTTATGCAATACATTAAGCCTAAATCAAACATGTAATTATGGATTACTGTATTAGGTAAACAAAGCAAAAAGATGCTTAAAGCACCCATTTTTCTCCTTTGCTCTCTGTGGAATTTCTAACAAGACCTTCTAAAATGGTTTCCTCCCTAGTCCTTCCTTGAATAGTCTCCTCCCTAGTTGTATTCTAATAAAGGAGATCAATTTATTCACATAAATACACATGCAAGAATGGGTTGCTTTCCTTGTCACTGGGAGCACACTAGAAGCTCATCTCAGGACACTTCTCACTTGTGGAATCATACCTGCATACGAAGCATGCTGTTTCTAACTGGTAATAAAGAAACCATTTCAAACCTTTTTCTAGTGTTCTTGATTGTTTTTCTAAATCCTCTGATGCTTTAGTTTTTCTCTCAGTAATCTTGATTCCTCACTCCAGTTGCACTTCTATTTTAATTTTCCCATGAATTATTAAATGCCATGTTTATCTTCTATTTAATTTTGTTGCCTTTATTTGATATATGTGCCACATCAGAAAACAACAATAAAAAACATTGATATAAAAAAACAGACTTAAAATATGTTACATCTTCCTTTCCCATCGGGGCTTCTTTAACACCTGCAACGTCCAATGATTCCAGAATATGGCCCTGTTTAGTTTATCAGTAGGGTAATTTCTGCAGGTAAACATTGATTAAAAAGAAATATATGGCTTCCTGAACTTCAAAGGAGGCATAGATGTCATTCTAAAATGCTAATACCACCTTAATAATGAAGGTAATAAAGCCTAAAATTCCAGATAACAATTTTATTCAGTGTATATGCCACTCTAGTTCTGAAGAGACAAACGGCTTACAGCATGCTGACAAATAGGACTAAAATTAGTAATAACCATTTGGAGGCAGTATGATTATACTTAGACCCAAACTGCTGCTCTTGTAACAAAGATCACAGGGAAGAAGTTGTCAGATATTTGGGTGTATTTTACATGTTAAGCAAGCATAAGTAACTTGATTATACTCCCCAACTTTCTAGATTGGCAGTTCAACTTTTAAAACTCACCTTGTTTTAAAATCATGATCATACCATTGATTAATCCTATTCCTATAGAGCTGTTAACTACTGTATCATTTCAAAGGATCAGCTAGGAGTCTCTTCCATAGCAACTGTAACCAAATTACCCACAGGGTCTCATGCCAATAGTAAAAAGCAAGCTAGACATTTGGCCCACTCTCTTAAATTATAAGTTAAGTGTTTGCTTTCAGAATACAAATATTAAAATACACTAAGAAGCACTACTAACTTTATCTCTGTTCTGCTTACCAAGCAGCACGTTGCAGGCTGAATGAAGGCTGAAATGGTGAAGCATTTGGATGATTGGTGATCCTGGGGGAACAAATCAAAGTTTTCCTGCATCTGTGTTTGATTATTTTTTTTAAATAAAGTTTTTTATTTTTAAACACAAACATGCACATACAAAAACATAAAAATAAAATCATTTTATACACATAACAGTGTGTCAGTTGGTTACGTATCTTTTGTGCTATACTTTTGTAGTCATTTAC